ATTTGAATAACATCACTGGACGGTTTTTGCAACTGTATAGCAATATTTGGTGCTGTTGCTGAAGATGCTTGCATCCTCTCCACTTCTTTTCTTCGTCTCGCTTCCTCATCCACAGCATGTCTGAGGCGTTCAAGCTCCTCCGTTAAGCTTTCCCGTTCCTGTCGTGCGTTCAACAGCAATACTTCCTTTTCCTGGTTATGCGCCACAAAATTCGCATCAATCTGCGCCAGCAGTTCGCTGTTTAACTTTCCTTCTGATGCAATTCGTGATTCCAGATGTTGTCGTTGCTCAGCAAGCCTGCAGAAAAAAACACGCTTTTGGTTAAGAGAAATAAAATGAAGGCACAAAATTTCGTTAAAAGACAGCAAAAATTTAGCTGAAATCGCCAATTTCGCCCGCTAAGTGAAAAAGCGTGTGTTATTTGATGCTTTAATCCCTTTTTTTACTGCATAATACTCAAAAATACTTCACTAAACATATAAAGGGACATCAACGATGCGATGTGATGCTAACATCTATAAGAATAAAAGCGGCAAGCCCAAAAAAGAGAAGAATGGAGAAATTGCTAAGTATAGCATCGACTGTGAAAAAGATAACAATTCAAAGTATAAATACTCTGAGCTATTGAACATGGCGCAGTAACAAGTGCAGCAGATCGACTCCACCAGTGGAAAAACCAATCCCTCAGCAAATCGTTCATTTATTTCGATGGCAAATTGGTACTGACATATGCCAAGGGGTCAAACCCGCCATCTATCTCTGTGTAAGCAACCCTCGAAACAGAAGCCATCAACACTTTTGCCAAAAAGTGGTTGCTGTTGGCATTTGCTACCACTCGGGCTACTTCTCGAATGCCTCCGCTCCTTACAAAGAGCGAATACAGAGGTGGTGACTATTTTAAGTATTAAACTATAATATCGGATAGGGAAAACAGGGGGAGGGGGGGAGGCTAAGCAAACTACGAAAAGTGAAATAAAAATTTTACTCTTTCTGATGCGCTTCGGTAGCTGTTGCAAATTGCCGCTGCAAATTGGATAATTCGGTGGAAAGTGTTCGAGTATGAGCAACTGATGAATCCAATTCAGCTTGTAACATACGATGCGAAGTGCTGAAATCAAAAACAATGGTTGATTTTTCCCTCTTTACTAACATTTGTAAAATTAAGCATTTCATAGATGCGTGTCAAGAAGTGGTTGGTAACTTTTAAGCTTCTACACTTATGCACGAAGAGGATTCCAGCAATTTTTGAAGAAGTGGCAATATACATATCAAACAAACACTGGGTAATATAACTGAAGGTATTTAGCCCAAGGTAAAGCGACTATATGAATAAATTCCACTAACAACGACTACACCGATTGTCGAGGTGGTCCTTGCAATACCTAGAATACCTGGAACTACTTCTACTTCAATAGCCTAGTTCTTCTACCTCGTTCCTCTAAAACGGCTGTCAGTTCATAGCAAGATTTTTCATTTTTTTTTTTTTTTTTCAATTCCACATACGTCAAATTGTCGATTGTTTTCCGTTGCTGTCGAATTGTTTCTTCGAGCATTTCAATTTCACCTTTCGAACGCTCATCATTTTCGCTTTTCTTCTGCTCTAACACATACAGTGCTCGCGTCTAGATAACAAAAATTCATAATAATTTCAATGAGTTGTTTCTTTCA